TTTGTTGCCATGTCGGTTGTGTTTTACCGAGGACGTCACGTTTTCGTTTTGTTGTTTTGTTCGTGCATTCATTAAATAAATATGTTTGCAACTAACGCTGCGCATTGGTCTACTCTCTACGACGATCGTGACATTTGCAGAGGGATAGGGTTCTACCAAGAACCATTTTCATCTGAATAACCATTTTTAAAAGAGTATGTAGCCTGTCATTACTTCTAAAATATAAACTTGCTTTTTGGAAAGATTGCAAGAGAAAACAAATGAAACTATAAATTCTGTTTTAATGTCAAGTGCCAAAGAATCCCCTATGTGGATTGAATACTGACTAAGATATTACTTTATTGATGGAGGTGAGCATTAATCAGATGTAATTGAAAGAGAAGGTTAGGTTGTTAATGCCATTCTGTAAAGTCATACTCTGTGAAAAGAGGTGCATACCATCAAAGAGTGGGACACCAACAAAAACGTAAAATCTGGAATAAAAACATGATGAATGTATTGATTTATCATTGCAATACCATTTACATTCAAGTTTAACCACATCAGAATTGTCACGATCGTTTAAGGATTCGTGGAACCAAGGCGCAGCGTGATAAGCGTACATCTTTATTGAACGTACTTAACACACGACAAAACCAAAACAACAAACAAATGATACGTGAAGTCCTGAGGTTACACAAAACAAACCTTTACGGAACAAGATCCCACAAACTAACTGGTGCCAAACAGGCTGCCTAAGTATGGTCCCCAATCAGAGACAACGAGCTACAGCTGCCTCTGATTGGGAACCACCCTGGCCAACATAGATCTAAACGATCTAGAACAAAAACATAGAAAACTAAACATAGAACCTACACACCCTGGCTCAACATTTAAGAGTCCCCAGAGCCAGGGCGTGGCAGTACCCCCCCCCCCCCCAAAGGCGCGGACTGCGACCGCGCCACACAAACACAACAGGGTAGGGGCCGGGTGGGCATTCCGCCTCGGAAGCGGATCCGGCTCCGGACGTGACCACCACTTTCTCACCACCTCCCCGTTGCGCCCCTGGTCTGGTCTGGCACCGCTGACTGGAGCTGGACCTGACAATGGTGGATCAAACCTTACAGGCTCCGGACTGGAGCCGCTGGCCGGAGCTGGACTGAACACCGGTGGAGCGGATTGCTCTGGCTCCGGAGTGGATCCGCCGACTGGAGTTGGACCGGACCCCGGTGGAGCGGATTGCTCTGGCTCCGGAGTGGAGCAGGAACGGGCCGGACCAGGTTGACGACGCGCACCACTGGCTTGGTGCGGGGAGCAGGAACGGGCCGGACCGGGCTGACGACGCGCACCACTGGCTTGGTGCGGGGAGCAGGAAAAGGCCGGACCGGGCTGGCGACGCGCACCACTGCTTGGTGCGAGGGGCAGGAACAGGCCGGACCGGGCTGGCGACGCGCACCACTGGCTTGGTGCGAGGGACAGGAACAGGCCGGACCGGGCTGGCGACGCTCACGCGTGATAAGCGTACATCTTTATTGAACGTACTTAACACACGACAAAACCAAAACAACAAACAAACGATACGTGTCCTGAGGTTACACAAAACAAACCTTTACGGAACAAGATCCCACACCGACTTGTGCCAAACAGGCTGCCTAAGTATGGTCCCCAATCAGAGACAACAAGCTACAGCTGCCTCTGATTGGGAACCACCCTGGCCAACATAGATCTAAACGATCTAGAACAAAAACATAGAAAACTAAACATAGAACCTACACTCCCTGGCTCAACATTTAAGAGTCCCCAGAGCCAGGGCGTGACAAGAATGTATCATTGTCACGGATTAGCTGAATCATCTGCAACTAAGTCAATGATAGGCCCAATGTTGACGTTTTTATCTAAACATCAAATCGTTTCTGGGTAACAATTTAGTACCCTACTGTAATAGTTGTCCATTAAAATGGTCAGAAGTAAACAAAGAGCAATTTCCCAAGCAAGAATTTAGCTAGGACTGTCTGGGAGTGGAGTGAGGGGCCTAATTGGACGAGCTTATTGCGAGGGATATGTACCTGAAAACTAGCTGTTGTTGGCAAAGAGGTTTGAAACTGTCTTTGTTATTGGTCTATTAACGCATACTGCCTGGTGATGTCACCAGGCATGCCAAAACTCCATTCCCACCAAAACAGGCGGACATTTCAAGTGGTCTATTCAACTAGCTCTTAAACTAAAAGGGCATTATCAACATTTCACATTTTCACAGTATTATACCAACCTCACAGTGTGTAAAAAATATAAAGGGTGTATACAGAACATCACTTTTTGACTGCACTGGGCCTTTAAGCAATAATGATTTCTCAAGCAATGATTTTTAAAGGACTGTCTGGGAGTGGTCTGAGTGGGGAGGGGAAAACAGAAAACTAGCTGTTATTGGCAGAGATATTTGGAACTCTCTTTGTTATTGGTCTATTCAAACGTATACTGCCTGGTGATGTCACCAGCATAGCCGCAGGAAGTAGGGGTGCTGAGGGTGCTGTAGCAGCCCCTGATATTCTGTTGCCAGATAATTTTATGTTCATTTCTCTACCGCCTCCAACGTAGTTTTAGAGAATTTGGCAGTACGTCCAACTGTATGCCGTCAGTGTGTATGGCGTCATGTGGGCGAGCGGTTTGCTGATGTCAACGTTGTGAACAGGGTGCCCAGTGGTGGTAGTGGGGTTATGGTATGGGCAGACATAAGCTACCAACAATGAACACGATTGCATTTTATCGATGGCAATTTGAATGCAAAGAGATACAGTGACGAGATCCTGAGGCCCATTGTCGTGCCAGTCATCCGCCGCCATCACCTCATGTTTCAGCATGATAATGCACGGTCTCATGTCGCAAGGATCTGTACACAATTCCTGGAAACTGAAAATGTCCCAGTTCTTCAATTGCCTGCATACTCACCAGACATGTCACCAATTGAGCATGTTTGGGATGCTCTGGATCGATGTGTATGACAGCGTGTTCCAGTTCCCACCAATATCCAGCAACTTCGCACAGCCATTGAAGAGGAGTGGGACAACATTCCGCAGGCCACAATCAACAGCCTGATTAACTCTATGTTGAGATGTGTCGTGCTGCACGAGGCAAATTGTGTTTTTTGTTCATTGACTCCACACCCCACATCGAGGACATCCACCCACCACCCTTAACACGGATTACCATCAACTTGTGAGGGCCAGTTTATAATTGCATGCTATAAGATCCCCCTGATAATGTAAATCACACACGACCATATTCTCGCAGGCATTCACATGCATGGAACTTTATTGAAAATCTGAGCATGGCAAGCATCCCTGTGTGTCACTGATAAGAAGCAGACTGTGATATGGATCAGGGAGGCATTACAGTCTATTGGATCAATAACTTCTGATGTGGGAGCCTGACTGCATCGAGTTAGAGCTACCCTACTTTAGGAGCCAGGGTTATTACAATGCCTCCATTGACAAATCAGGTCTGCAGGGCCCTAATGAACGAACGACAGAGCAGGATAAGAGTGACAGCAGAGAGAAGACAGAGTCTGCCGTCTATAATTAAAGCGCTCTTTAATGCATTCTGCAATAATTAACTAGTATCAATCTGAATCCGTGCAATAACGGTTGGCTCATTCACAGAGGAAAGGCATTGATTAAATATATATATGTCTTGGCCATAACGTGTGATTAGAGAAAATTTATTTTTACTGATTTGGCGGTTCTATGAATCAAGAGCAATTTTACAGGAGTCTGTCTCCTTTCAATTTAGTGCCGTGTGGACTGACTGCCTCAACCATAGAGCTAGAATTAGGTGATTAGTCTCTGTGGGCAGATAAATTGGACATACAATAAAACATATTGTCAAGTGGTACGTGTTACTATGTCAACGGCATCATCTTTAGCTCCTTCAGTGTGGTAGCACAGATGGAAACCCACATTAGGAACTCACTATAGATTTCATTAGTTTTGTGCCCCTATAGGCTATAGTAACATATGGTATATAATCTATATAATTTTTATGCAAACATGAAACACTTTTAATCAATTGAATCTGAAAGGTGTCATGATATGTCTAGTTATATTTTAAATTAAATGTGTTCAATGAAATGTTTGTGATATAGATTGATTTACATTGCAATGCTGCAATATTACACATTGCCCCACATTACAAAACCACTTCCATGCTGGGCATGATGCTATTTATAAATAGGTAGAACGGTCTGGTCGAACCATCCCTTTCAGTTGCCAGAGGCAACTCTAAATCATCAAAGTACTACAGTATCAAATATACACTATTGTAGACAACCAAGGATTAAAGCTATGTTCAGTCCCTCAGCAGTTTATCTTATATGTTTTATGTCTAGTTTGTAAGTTTGTTTACACAAAGTTGTAAAACAAGTTTGTAAAACAACTTCCAGTTGATTTGGAACAAGATGTGTTTACAGGCAAGTTCCTTTTTGTGCCATTGTTTTGGTGGTTGAAAGAGGAAATATGAATTTATTATGAGGACACCAGTCCTTCTGCGAGACCAGCTGCCTGCCACATGAAATCTCAAATCTGGCAACTTCCTGGCTGTGGCAATAGGAGGCAAACCACGTCTGTCTCAATCAAGAATGTACTTTCTAAAACCCACTGGCACTGTTCAGAGAAACAAACCGTTTTGGTAAAAAAATAAAAAAAATAAAAAAAATACATATATATATATATATATATATACTGAATCTTAGAGATGTTTCCTTTTCCATAGCATAACCTTTGTTCTGCTGTATTTATGAATGAGGTTCAGTATTAATAGTTATCACAGGTTGAATCAGGGTCTCTCTGTGTGATCTGAAAGGATAATAGTGGCCCTATTGATGGTTCTTCGAAGGCTGGTTATTACATTATAATAAACAGACATAGTATCTAGCTAAGTACATCATGTACCGGTATGTTACACATGTCTGGTTTGGGTGTAGATAGAATCAGGGTCTCTCTGTGTGATCTGAGAGACTACTAGTGCTCTTAGTGGTGGTCCTCTGATGACTCACAGTCCTGCATCCTCCTCAGGCAGGGCAGGTAATGGCCCGCAGCCGCCCTGAAGTCATTCCTCAGGAACGTGTAAAGCACAGGATCCAGCAGACTGTTGAGGCTCAGCAGACCCCTGCCCAGCTGATAGGGCACGAACACAGCCTTCTCCCACTCACAGGCGTCACCGTGGAGAAGCAATCCAATGTACTTCACACATCCTGTGACATGGTAGGGGCCGAGGACCAGGATGAAGATGACCACCAGCAGGATGAGAAAACCCCTGATGCGATGCTTCTCTTCGGCTCCCAAGGCACCAATGGCCGACAAAGACCTCAGGGTCTTCCGGTGGAGGAACAAGATGAAGGAGAGGGGACAGACGAAGGACAGGGTTAATGTGATCAATCGGTAGGTGATGAAGCCCTCCTTGGAAGGGTATCTCTCCATACACAGGGTGTGTTTGTCGTTGGGTTGCATTGTACGCAAGGCGATGGATAGAGGCAAGGCCACCACGACCCATATGCTCAGGGCTATCCATCGTGCAAAGTTCAGCTTTCTCAATGCTTGGAATCTCCGAGGCTTGGCGATGGCCAAGTAGCGCTCCAAAGCGATGATGCACATGAAGGCAATGCCGGTGTAAATGCTGACGTAGAAACTGACCCCCGAAAACTGGCAGGAAGTGGACCCGAATCGCCAGCTGTGACCCCTGCTATAGTAGTCCAATCCATAGAGGTAGAGTGAACAGTTGGAGGAGATCTGAAAGGAGCAGGTTGATCACGTACACCGGTAAGACGTTTTCAGTCTTGATCAGACGATAGAGCCCGAACAGAGCCATCAGATTGAGGGGAGTGCCAATGACGAAGAAGATGCCGTAGACTACAGGAAGGTATATGGCATCTTGGCTGAGGTCCACTCCACAAGTGTTGGCATCATTCAGGTTATTATTACCAGAGCTGGGGATGGGAGTCATGTCCATGACGTCCTAGTGAATCAAGAGGATATGTTTAGTTGATATGGATAGTATAGAAAGTATTTACCCCATTATACATTACTTTAGAGCCTGCAACTTGATGCTTTTACTCTTTAAATGATATTTTTGTAATCCACACTTTCTACTTGACACTAAGAGGGTATAAAATATCATTAAAACTAGAGGGTATAAAGTATCATTAAAACTAGAGGGTAACAAAACATATAGATGACCACTAAATTACCATGAAACTCAAAACACTTTGATGTGAATTCTCTCCCTGATTGAGTCTTATTATGTTATCAAATTATTAACTGAACAGAACTAATCAAAACATACCTGAAATCCTGTATTAGCTGCACTTTAGCAACAAAATCAGAACGTCTTATTGGGAAACCTCATTGAAGAGAGTGTTAGTTGAATAGTCAGTATACCAAACGATATGCCAACAGTGTGTGTTTGAACCAGGATGTGAAGTAATGCCATGGTGTGCTGGGAAAGCACAGACACTCATAGAGATATTTATTTGTATGATGACGCTCATGTGGTGAAACAGAAGTCATGAAATTATCAAATGAAACATGTCACAAAACCACAGCAGGAAGTTAAGAAGCTCAAATGTGCCTGTCATTGTTGTGTTAATTACTTGGCAACAGAGAAATAACTATAAAAAATGTGTCAACCAGATCTGCCTCCGTCACTGTCACTGAATAACACATCACGTAATGATATCCCATGATGTTCACAGTATTTCTGCTGTACTCTGTTTTTCTAATACATTTTGCCTAAATATGATCATTCCAACTGCCTCATATTTGTTTTAACAGATGTAATAATATAATAATAATATGCCATTTAGCAGACGCTTTTATCCAAAGCGACTTACAGTCATGTGCGCATACATTTTTACGTATGGGTGGTCCCGGGGATCGAACCCACTACCCTGGCGTTACAAGCGCCATGCTCTACCAATTGAGCTACAGAGTGATCTACTGTCTCTATTTTCTGTACAGATGTAGGATCTGAATTTTAGCCAGTTTTCTACAGCCGGAAAATAATCCTGCAGCAACAGGAAATGTGAATTATTATGTGGATTATAATTAATGGACATTTTTGTAGGGGTTGATACAAAGGGAAAATCAAGTGTAAAATGTCTAAATGGAAATTACAAACTTCAGAAGTCTTTTTAAACCTCAAATACACTACAAGTTTTAAATATCCTGGATTGCAGGGAGGTTCTCCTCCAACAGGGTGATCAGATTAAGATCCTACACCTGTATGTACACGCCTGTTATCAAATTGTCAATAAAAATGATACCCAATAAATAAACCTGCTGTTTTTTACCTTTGTTTAATTTTGTGGCTGGAACACCAACCCACCATCATCATCATCATCATCATCATCATCATCATCATCATCATCATCATCATCATCATCATCAACCACCACCACCACCACCATCATCATCATCATCATCATCATCATCATCATCATCATCAACATCATCATCATCACCATCATCATCATCACCACAACCATCATCATCATCATCATCATCACCATCATCATCACCATCATCATCATCATCACCACGATCATCACCATCATCATCATCACCATCATCATCATCATCACCACGATCATCACCATCATCACCATCATCATCATCATCATCATCATCACCATCATCATCATCATTACCATCATCATCAACATAATATCCACCCTCAACATAATTACCATCATCATCATCTTCATCACCACCATCAACATAATCACCATCATCACCACCATCATCATCATCACCATCACCATCATGATGAGTTCTGCTAAGGGGTTGAATGGTGTTCAGTAGGTGTAGTTTTGTGAATCACCTATCACTTGTTATGATCATCAACTTGTTCAACTGAGAGCAGATCTGGCAACGGTACATGTTATCAAAGGTATAAAGATCAAAGGAACACTTCCCACTGGATGTTAAACTTAATATCTTCAATTCCATCATATCTTGTGTTGAGGGAATTCAATATGGATTTTTACATTTTCTACAGGGCATTGATTTAAAATGCTTACAAGGTGTTCAAACACTTCTTGGCAGAAATCATCTAGCTTGGCTCACACAGCCAGCTGTAGATATGGTAAGCATCCCAAGACACAGCCAGCTGTAGATATGGTAAGCATCCCAAATGCCACCTTATTCCCTTCAGTGCCCATAGGGCTCTGGTTAAAGTAGTGCACTATATAGGGAATAGGGTGCCATTCAGGATGTATCATTGCACACAATTCTAAAGAACTCTTGACAGTTCCTACCAGGGGCATGAGTCCAACTTCTACAGAAAGTGTTCCTGTGCCCAAAATCAATCTAAGGATCAACAGCAAAGCATTCAGATGTGAGTGGAATTAAATCATCAAAACCTGTTGGTGAAGTGTTTTACAGTAACACGTGGGACCAAACAAGGGAAACATAACAAACGATGTCATTTTGTTGGAGATGAATGAGTCTTAGTGTAAAGAGAACATACAGAGGAGGAGCATGGAACTAGACAACTAAAACAATAGAGATGTACTTTATTAAGGATTTATCAAGGGTTTATAAGTAGTTTATAAATGGTTAATTATTAGTTTATAGAATAGTTAAGAAACAGTAATACAATTGTAAGCTTGTCAACTAGCTGCTTTTCACGTACTAATAATTGAAATAATTAGTATAATTAATAATAACATAATGTGTATATTAATTCGTATTATTATGATGATGCTCTTCTCATTCATCAATATATCTGCTTTAGACACAAGAGTAGAAGATACAGTACTTTCTAGAAATGCATATCAATGACTTCCTCAATTTATTGCCCCTTCTTTGACTAATGCCTCATAATACATTGGACCCTGCTGTCCTTTCTATGAGTGGCTTGCGTCAATCTCAGAGGCCCTTAATAATTGAAAGAGAATGTAATCTAAGCACGGTTGAAAAGAGAGATACAATTATCCGCATGTGAACCCTTTTAAAACCCAAAGCAGGTGAACTTTAGGTTACCTGGCAGATAAGACCTTAACTGATTAATATCATGTAGTGGCAGTGGGTGGAAGAATCATGGGTGTGTTCTACAGAGGGCCAATCTGGAGGGAGTTCTTTTCATTCTGAAGTTGTGTTTAATGTATGAGTCACTTGCCTACCATGGGGATTTGGTATGCAGTGTGTCTAGGATGAAGAATGCACTGGCACTGGAAATACTGGAGACTTTTACTTATACTCTGAGCTATGTAAGAAAGTGCATCTCAACAAATACAGGGGAAGTGTCTAAGAAAAAAAAATCAAACGTCCAAGAAAATGTTTTGTTACTCATGTTAAACATGTTTCTATTAAGACATCACAAACGTACCCGTTCCAATTATCGCATATTTAACATGGTTTGGCCATCTTGAAATATCCTGTACTGCAGGTGGGAATCTTTGAGTGTACAGTACATGTTTTCCAAAAGGTTTAAAGGCAGGCTTGGTATATAATAGAGAATAGATCTATTGGAAACAGAGAGAAATGCTGTCTCTTCAATTTAATTCTGGGAATGCGTTATCTGACATGGCACATCAAATGCACCAGCAAAAAGACTGCAAAGAAACAGATCACAAGATGGGATACAAGAGCCGTATGAAAGATGTCACGATAACAGAGTGACTTTAGGAGAAGGGAAAGACTTTTAAACTTTATAATCATTACCTAATATATATATATATATATATATATATATATATATATATATATATATATTGAATTTGTATACTAGTAAGAATGCTTACTGAGGAGTTTGTCCGTGTAAAAAATATATTCCTATATTTCCATGTAGGCCTACAGTAGTTCAATAGTTCCAATAGCAAACATTTCAAGACAGCTGTTGCGCTACACAGATACCGTAAACAATAAGCGAAGACAACACGACATGACAATGGTTGTTGACAGCAGCACCTGAATTTCACCAATCCATTTTGACCATCTAGATCCAGGGGCGTCAAACTTATTTTGCTCACGGGCAGCATTCGGTCTTCAACAAGGTCTGGAGGGTCGTACTGAAAATGTGTTATATTTCCTCGCTGTTAAAAAAAGCACAGATGTGTCCTCTATCCATCGGTTTAGGAATGTTCTATTCTCCATGACTATCCAGCTTTCGTTTCAGTGATTCAAAATCAAATCAAATCAATTGTTATTTGTCACATGCTTGGTAAACAACATGTGTAGACTAACAGTGAGATGCTTGGTAAACAACATGTATAGACTAACAGAGAGATGCTTGGTAAACAACATGTATAGACTAACAGAGAGATGCTTACGGTCCCGTCCCAACAACACAGAGAGAAAAGAAGAAGAAGAATATAAAGATAATAACACCAGGAATAAATCCCCAATGAGTAAGGATAACCTGGCTATATACACGGGGTACCAGAACCGAGTCCATGGGTAGGGGTCCTCAGCTACCTGGAAAGAGTAAAGACTAATAGATGTAGGTCTAATGTTTCGACACAGTTTTGGTTTGGCTTTAGTCATAGTTTGGCTTCAGTCATTTCAATGTAGACCGGATCTGGCCGGCAAGCCTTGAGTTTGACACGTGATCTAGATGAAGTGCTTCATGTGAAGCACTTGAACATAACATAATGTACTGTCCTAGTCCTAGATGAAATGTAACCATCAACATAACATAATGTACTGTCCTAGTCCTAGATGAAATGTAACCATCAACATAACATAATGTACTGTCCTAGTCCTAGATGAAATGTAACCATCAACATAACATAATGTACTGTCCTAGTCCTAGATTAAATGTAGCCATCAAGTCTCAGAGGTGAAAGGAAATACACCTCCAACTTCAGCCATCTGGTGTTTCGGTATGACAGTCTGCAAAGGAAACTGTGTGTGTATGTGTGTATGTGCGTGTGTGCGCATCTGTGTGTGTGTGTGTGTGTGTGTTTGTTGTGTGTGTGTGTGTGTGTGTGCAAGTGTGTTTGACCTATGTGAAGGATTCTGATCCGCAGGAGAACTGCTGAGTAGCATCTGCTGGCAGCAAGAACGCCTTGGGTCCTTCACATGACATGACAAATTACACTGGGCAGTTTACATTTAATTATCCCCTTGAATAATCACCTCCATGAGAGATTGTTTGGGAGGAGGGAGAGTGAGAACAAACGGGGGGGAAGAGTCAATATTTAGAAACATATTCTTTCATATCAGACGTTTCACAGATGAGTGAAGGGAAGTGAAGGACCATCAAACGCCCTCTAACCTCCATTGACCTGAGAAAGGGTTAACTTACTGATGCCATCTAACCTCTATCGACCAGAGAAAGGGTTAACTTACTGATGCCATCTAACCTCTATCGACCAGAGAAAGGGTTAACTTACTGATGCCATCTAACCTCTATCGACCAGAGAAAGGGTTAACTTACTGATGCCATCTAACCTCTATCGACCAGAGAAAGGGTTAACTTACTGATGCCATCTAACCTCTATCGACCAGAGAAAGGGTTAACTTACTGATGCCATCTGACCTCTACTGACCAGAGAAAGGGTTAACTTACTGATGCCATCTAACCTCTACTGACCAGAGAAAGGGTTAACTTACTGATGCCATCTAACCTCTATCGACCAGAGAAAGGGTTAACTTACTGATGCCATCTGACCTCTACTGACCAGAGAAAGGGTTAACTTACTGATGCCATCTAATCTCTACTGACCAGAGAAAGGGTTAACCTACTGATGCCATCTAACCTCTATTGACCTGAAGAAGGGTTAATTTACGATGGCCATCTCACAACTTCTATACCTGGAGGGTTAACTTACTGATCATGACATCTACGACAAAAAGGTTGTAACATAGCATCTAACCTTATGACCGAAAGGGTACATTATGCACTGCTCCTACAGGAAACATGGTCACTACCATAACTCGACCTAGGATTCTAGTCATCTAACCCCTTGACCTAGAGTAATTAACCACACCTGTCATACAGGTAACCACCTGGCCTCTACATAACCACAGTTGTCCTACATGAACCACCTGGTCCTACAGTAACCACCCTGGTGCTACAGTAACCACCCTGGTCCTACAGTAACCACCCTGGTCCTACAGTAACCACCCTGGTCCTACAGTAACCACCCTGGTCCTACAGTAACTACCCTGGTCCTACAGAAACCCACCCTGGTCTACAGTAACCACCCTGGTCCTACAGTAACAACCCTGGTCCTACAGTAACCACCCTGGTCCTACAGTAACCACCCTGGTCCTACAGTAACCACCCTGGTCCTACAGTAACCACCCTGGTCCTACAGTAACCACCCTGGTCTACAGTAACCACCCTGGTCCTACAGTAACCACCCTGGTCCTACAGTAACCACCCTGGTCCTACAGTAACCACCCTGGTCCTACAGTAACCACCCTGGTTCTACAGTAACTACCCTGGTCCTACAGTAACCACCCTGGTTCTACAGTAACCACCCTGGTCCTACAGTAACTACCCTGGTGCTACAGGAACCACCCTGGTGCTACAGGAACCACCCTGGTGCTACAGTAACCACCCTGGTCCTACAGTAACCACCTGGTCTACAGTAACCACCCTGGTCCTACAGAACACCCTGGCCCTACAGTAACCACCTGGTGCTACAGTAAACCACCCTGGTCCTACAGAAACCCACCCTGGTCCTACAGTAACCAACCTGTCCTCAGAACCACCCGGTCCTACAGTAACCACCTGGCTACAGTAACCACCTGGTCCTACAGTAACCACCCTGGTCCTACAGTAACACCCTGGTCTACAGTAAACACTGGTCCT